GAAGTTTGCCTTACCATAAGCTTTCGTTGGAGCCCTGTCCCGTTGACTAACTTGGGTATAATAGTCTACTTATGCACCGGACTAATAGTCCAATATCCTTGATTTTAGCACATGAAACTGGAAAATTGGCAACACTGTACAGCCTAAACCAGGGGTCACTTCAAGTTGAAACTTTGCATGGAAGTTTGCCTTACCATAGGCTTTCATTTGAGCGCTGTCCGGTTGACCAACTCGGGTATAAAAAAAAGGGGCTAAACTTGGCGAGGCTCTTTGTATCAACCATTTGAATTTTTTTCCTCCCCTCTAGTCTCAATATAGCACTGACAAAAGTACAACAATTGCAAGTGGACCACCTCCTCTAGCGCCCGCCAATGTGGGTAATAATTGGAAACCAGTAGCAAAGAAATCTAGTGGAAGTAATCCCTCTAGTCCAGCACCTTCTGCTCCTAAACGACGGAAAGCACCGCCCTCACGAATACCTCCTTCAGAAGATGCAGATAATACTAGTAATCAGGTAGCTATTTTTTCAGCATTCTTCCGATCTTAAGAAATTTAGCTAGCTTCCTTAGAATACTCTATAAATTTTTACTTTAGTATTAATTGGGTAGTGCTGCTGAATTCTAAAATTCTAAAATTCTAAAATCTATAAATTTCTTAGGATTGCCAACAGTAGCGTGGCGTGAATGATCGATTATCGATATTTCTCCATTTGAATCCGTGGCAAAGAATCGATTATTAAGGTGTTCGCTGCAAACACCCTACTAATCTATCCTTTTCTATTGGTTTAAATGACAGATCAATCGATATATTGCAAAGCACGCCATGCCACTGATTGCCAATTATATGCTACTGATCAACTCTTGGAGACTCTGCTGTTCCTTAACCTTTTTTTAGTCACTGGCTAGAGAGCTCTGAACTGAGAAACAATTACTGGTAACCATGTTAGAGGATATTCATATTTCTAAGACTTCATTTGAATTTTTTCCCTTGAAGTTCATTAGGAAATTCAAACGAAATTACAGAAGTTCATGTGTTTACTCGGGTGCAGATTCTCTGTAGGGTGTCTCTGCTGTGAGTTTACTTGCACAGTAACTGCACAGGGCTAGTAAAAATAAAAAAATAATCAAATTTTTATGATATCCTATTCCTTGCCTTGCTGAGGGATGTTGCTCTTGCGATTCAACAGTGGAAAGGTTAAGCTAACGGTTTTCCTTAATTTGCATTTTTTTTAAAATTTGGAAATCTTCCTTGCATTTGCTGCATCCTGCAGTTTGCAAAATTACGCATTACTTGATCTCATGAAAAACATGAAGGCAATAACTTTCTTCATGGAATATGGTACTGGAGTATTTAATTCTCAGTGGTTGCTCCTCTACGCAGACCAGTCTTCTTGAGGCACTTTGTGTTTATCCCAGGTGATTGCTACCATTATGATGAAGAGAATTTACATTCAAAATTTTTGGAACTCTAGTACTCCTAGTTGGTTCCTGCCTTTTCAAAATTTGCTGATGAATCTTGTGATGGTTTTTCTCTTAACTATGAATGCTCTGGTTATTAAGGTGATTCGATGGACGTCATATTTTGTGTCAAAACAACATGCGATATATTGCATATCGATTGGTTCCATTTTTTAGCTACTAGTCATTTTTCTCGAATTTTGTGATGGCAATTCTGTTGCCAGGAGACCAAAAAAACATTTTATCAATTTTGACGTACAAACTCAACGTAATAAAGGGGTGGTTTTTTAAGAGGAAAAATATCGCATTCGAGTGCAGTTTTGATATCAGTGTCGAATGCGTTATTTTTCCTCCAAAAAAACCACACCTTTATTGAGTTGAATTGGTTCGTCAAAATTAGTAAGTTTTCTTAGTTCTTCTTTATTAGTAAACATTCTTTAGTCTCCTGGCAACAGAATTGCGATCTGAAAATTCAAGAACAATGACGAGTAGCTAAAAAAATGTAACTACTCGATGCGATATATCGCATGCCGCTCTGACACAAAATACGGCGTCCATCAAATCACCTTCATGCATAAAAAACTGTCCTGAAATGAGTTTCCAACTCTACATTTTTAATGTTCAATTAATTGCTATGGAAAGGTATAATCTCAGGAAAAACCATAACAATATCATTTTTCTGTCTCTTACAGGAAATAGAGGAATCAAGTGAAGAAGAGCACCAATCTCTTCAACATCAGGCGCTGCAGCAACAACACCCATCTCAACAGCACCACCAGTACCACCCTCAACTTCCACTATCGTCAAACCAAGAAGCTGCACCTGTAATTGTAAAGTCAGAAGACGGTTTCGCACACGATGAAGAAGAGTATGAAGATGGGACTAGAGGTAGTTTCCATGGTGGGGAAGGCGAGTCGAGCTCAGGGGAAACAACAGGCTACTACCAGTCGCTAGCGTCGGTCGATATGGGTGATGAGGGGGATGAGGAAGAAGATGAGGAAGGGGATGGGAGGGACGATAAGGGTGGAGTAACGGCAGCATCAGTCGCAACGTTATTAGAACGATCATTAGTGGCTGTCTCGAGAAGTGGCACGGACGTCCAAGGTATGTTAGCGGGTGAGTTGTATTACCATTCCTAAGTTTGCCACTTTTTCTCAGTGAATTTAATGGAGGTACCCAGTTTTGTCGCCACGGCAAGAACCTTGGTCCTCCAAAAACTTGGATCAAGTAATTTATTGGTACCAGAGCGAAAAGGAATGTCCAGTGTATATCTTGAGATGCAAAACATTTATAAACATTAAAAGATATCAGTATTACAGCGGTTTAAAGTTCGCTATCACTTTCTAGAAAGAAACTGTGAAAGTGACACTATACTTTCTAGGAAGAAAAAAGAAGGAGAGAATTGAAATATGGGTAAACAAGGCTAAATCATTAAAATCAACAAAAAGCAGGACGTTTCAAGCTGTTACCAGCTCATTTTCAGCTGCAAAAACACATAAAAATAAAAAAAAACCCAATGGTTTTTTTGTGTTTTTGCAGCTGAAAATGAGCTGGTAACAGCTCGAAACGTCCTGCCCCTTAGTGTTTTTAATATTTTAGCCTTGTTTACCCATATTTCAATTCTCTCCTTCTTTATTCGTATATTCGGGCTATGTTTTTGTACTTTATCCTTTCTAGGAAGTAGCTTTGAAAGTTACGCTGTACTTTCTAGAAAGCAACTGTGTAAGTAACGGTGTACTTTCTAAAAGCAGCAATTCAGATTTCCATTCGGCTTTGCTCAGGACACAAAATTACTGGATTATAATGTAAATTCATGCCCTTTGCCGCAAAGATGAATTCAATTTCTTGAAACCTGACTGTAAGAAATTTTTCATAAAAATCTGAAAATCGGATCCATTCACCCTAGCCCAACTTTTCGAAAATAGCTTCCCTGAAAATTTTGCCTTTATACAGGGTTGCCCTTAGTTAAAGAATACTGGGAAATGTCAGGGAATTATATCAAGTCAGGGGGAACTTGGAAATGTAAGGGAAAGTGACATGTCAGAGAATAATTGTCAAGCCCCTTTATTTGCTTTCCTGAATGGATTCGACATTTCAAACTACAAATCTTGCCTGAAAAACTTATGTCTAATTATGTCTCTCAATCATCTGACATATCTTCAACTGTCAGGGAAACCCATCTTATAAATTTTGTGGAAATCCTGATGTATGATGGTCTGTTTTCTCATGGCAAGTCAAAATTGAAGACCTTAAATTAATATCGGGCTGAGTGCCAAGAAAATGAAAATCGAGTTAGACCTCGAATATTGTTCTATGTATCAAGGACCCCTCAACCAGTGAAGCGGGCTGAGTGCCACGACCATGATGGTAGTGTGCAGTGTGCCCCGATAGGTAGCGGTACGTGGTATATGCCGGGCAATCTGTGGGAAATAAATGTTGAATAACTGAAACTTGACTTTTTGGCACTTAGCCCGTTATTGATTCAAGGTCTTCAATTATGTAGAGCCTCGATTGTCTGTCTGGCCTATTGCAAGAGCCACAGTATGGAAGTTGACAAGATTTGAGACTTGCATTGTTTAATAATGTCTCCTTGTAGGTTTTGTCTCTTCTCATATAATGATGCATCCTTTTTTAATCTCTAGGGAGTAGCAGCAATAGTAGTGTAGGAGCTTTATCAATATTCCCGGGCTCAGTGGCTCACGGAGGCGTTGATCATGCAAATCCAACTGGTGAGTCAAAAGTCCATTCTTTTTCCGTTTGACTTTTGGTGTTGGCTTCTCTTATTTTTCATCTGTTTTATTTTTAGTGCTTGATTCATTGTTCTGTTCTCTTCATGTTCTGTTGTCACATTCTTTTTTCAAATCAACGATTTTATGCGCTCGTCACATCACCGTTCAATATTTTATCGCAGCTCATTCATCGATAGTGTTCATGATTCTTTAAAGTGGATTACTGTTTTTCTGGACGGGGGTTGAGTTTAGTTATTTCTGTTAAGTCTAAGCATGAAGAACTGCGAATGTGTCGAAGTGTGATGTTGTCTCCAAAATTAATTTCGTAGGTGTTTAATGTACTTGGAAAGTTAATATTCCAGATTTGTTTGACCAGTAAAGCTTGAGGAATCCAAATTAAAAACAATGCGAGCCTTCTATACCTGCTCTGTTGGCAGAGGTTAAAAATAATCGTGTTTTACTTAGATTTTGTACGGCCAGCAAGCTGTGGTAATCATCATGCGCTTCAATGTAAATCTGCATGATAGGGGTGTCTTCTCTTTGTCGTTAATTTCCTAAGGTAATAAATTTGTGAGTGCATTATTGTCTTTGTTTTCCGAATGCTTGTGTGGCACACTAAATTTTCTGATGCGATGACTGTGATGAATGTGATGACTGAAGTCAAGAGGAAACTCAGCTGACCTTTTATTGTCACCTCATTTGAATTACATCTTGTCGTAAGGAACTACTCTCTGCCTCATTTTCGAAAGAACGTTTGTGCCATTAGTGTGCGTATGCTAATAGGTGCTTTTATGGATAGGGGCCAGAAATAATATTTCTTCCCTGTGAAATGCAGTCCATTTGTCTGAGTGTGGATGAATTTTGGACATTGATTGTATTCAGAATTTAAGGCATTCTTCTATTTTTGAAAGGAAGTATTTTCAAATTGTCTACGAAGATTTAGTTGTGGAATCCTGACTTTTTATTTTCTCAGTTGAATTTCCAAGTATTTTTTGGAGAGATTGGCCTTTTTTACTGCTAATTTTTTCTCGGATCTGCTCGAACTCATAAATTACCTATCACTCGGTTTCTCAGGTCGTTGGTCTCGGTTAGGTTTCTATAATTTTGAAAAATGAATTTATTAGAGGTTAAAGTTGAATCAGCTCACCTCACCAGTTTTCTCTTGTAATAAACTATTGTAAACGTGATACTCAGGCTTTTTGACTGTGCAAAGCTTCATCAGAGAAGTCAAGAATCTACCCTATCCTCGGAGTTTTTATTGTCATTTTATTCAGAGTATGATACGGTTAAGATGGACTAGGTGCAATGTCGACCAGGAAATAATTATCATTCTCACTTGATTTTGATTGCGTCACCTGCCAAGGTTATCAAAGACTAAAATAATTTTGCTCTCTCAGTATGAAGTACACCCATGGAAAGGCAGAAAGGACAATTGGCAAATGGATCTGGGCGATTAGGGAACTATAAAATTCTATTTTGGTCAATTGGTTTGAAAGTGGGTTGGTTAATGATTTGGAAGTTTCAAGCCCCCTCTTAAGTCTATTTCTTATCAATCAACAAGGCTTTTTTTCCTATAGTGTCGATTCCTGATATGAATCCTCTGCTGCTCAGGCGGCTAAACTAGGTATACCAATAATATATGTTGTGGTCAAAACCTGTGATCCGGTCAAACTCTTATTGGACTGCCACATTTTAGTCAAATTACAAAACGAACTTCGACCGGTCAAGACAAGTAGTTCAATGCATTTTGGTTGAAACAGGAAGCATGAATGAAGTAAGTTGGTGAAAGCCAACATTGAAACGCCATCTAGGCAATCTCGAGAAATGCCTGGCAGGAGAATTGCTGTATAAGTTCTCCTTCTTCTCATTCCTTGTTTGGTTGTTGACAAAAATGAATTTGACAAAAAAAATCTAATCAGTTTTATTTCCAATGTTTCTGGAGACGCTCTACAAGTGAGTGATTTTGATTTCAACTGTATAACTGGTTTTGACAACAACATATGTAGCTGAAGGATAGTGTTTGAAGAATTTATTTAGTTTTTAATTGAGATTTATCTTTTTCTCAATGAATAAAAAACGGAATTTCCTCTTTTTGTATTCATTCTTGCGCAAAGAATACACCCATATTAAAAAAATTAAGCAAAAAACAAAAGTCACCTCTTTTTGCGTCAAAAATCGCCACCAACCCTCTTTCCATCATCTTTCTTAATTCTTTTGCTGATATTTTTGACTCGCTAGATTCTAAGCAGAAGCACAATAATTTTGAAATTTTAATGATGTAAAAAAAAAAAAAAAAAAAAATTCTATCATATTTGTATGATAAATTGGAGGAGAGGAAAGGAAGGACGGAAAACATTTAATTTTTTCCATTTTTTTCCTCCATTTTTTGCTTCTTTATGATTCAAGTGAATCGATCAATTGGAGAACAGTGATTTTTTTCCTTCCTTGAGGAACCTATCAGTGGATTGGTATCACAGCAAACAAGATTCACTTGTGTCCACAGTTTTAAGTGGGAGAAAGAAACGAAAGAGACCAAAAAAAAATAGAAGCAGAAACCATGTATTTAATGACTCACAAGCAACTCAAATGTACAGTTATTCACCCTTTTCTAAAAGTTGAATTGTATTGGTCTTGTTTGCTTTGTTGTGACCATTCGGGCCATTTATTTTTCCATATCGGAGTCTGAACCCTTGGTCCAAATAGTCCTCATTGCAACATCATCCAAAATTCTGTTTACCACCCTCGTGTCTTCTATAATTTATTTTTGTAGTTATTTATTTTTTTTTTTCTAATAAGTTTCATCCTGTCAGTCTATTAATGATTTTATTCCAAAATAGTTTTTCCTATTTTGCATTTTTCATGTACTTTTATTTACGAACAGTGGCGGTATTTTTGTTTTATTATTTTCCTATTGCTGAATGTGAACTTTTTTATTTTAAGTCTGAAAATCTAATGTAACCTGTGTTGTTGTTGGAAATCCTTCGATCCAATGCTATTTTCAAAGTCCTTTATTAAAAATGTGGATTGTATAGAAGGAAGAAAAATGTGTAACGAAATTCAAAAATATAGTTGAACGTTCAAAGATATAGAGGAAACGATCAACCTTAAAAATTTAAAGAGGTGTCAGAAATAACGAGAAGGAGAAGGAGTCCTGCTGCCTAGAGCTCGATTGAATTTTTGTGGTAAAAGCTCTTGTCTTCATTTTATCTCAAAGCAACAACATAGGTTTAAAATATTTTTGCAGAACTATTGCCTGTTCTTTTTCTTGCATTTTACAGACAGATTATTATTTTTGTGTCCTTTTATTTTCCAAAGAGTAAGCAGCTGTCAAATGTTGAAGCACAAACGTGTCTTCATGTTTGGGCATTCAGGTAATTCACGCCGAGGACAAAGTTGATGAATGAATTTTAATATAAATGTGAATGCTAAAAACTCATGATCTCCAGTGATCCCAAGCTTGTGAGGAATTAGAGGGCCGCACATTTTTAATGCCTGGACCAATATCCATTAATATTTTTACGTTCAGTTTGCTGAACATCACTTTTCAAAGCATCGACCGAGTTCAAAGAATGTGATTAATTCTAGCCATTGATGAATATTAAAATTTTATAACGTAGTTGAATGTACAAAAATAACGGAAAAGTCTAATTTTAAAAATGAATTGGGAATAAAAAACACTTTTTTTTAAAAATTTCAAATTACTCCTGCGGCACTCAATCATAAATATATGGTCCATTTTTCATCCATAGTTATCATCAACCATGAGTAGCTTTTAAAAGGAAAAGTGAAACTCAACATTTTGACTTCTGCTTCTACTCTTTGACTTGCTCCTAGGATCGGTTCTAAAAAGTGAAGGGTCTGGATCTCCTGACGTCCTTATATGTGTTTTTTGTGTCTAACATGGGCCCAAAACATATGTCATGTTTCTATGTATTATTATCATCACACTATTGAGTCTACAGTATTGTGGCTGACTTCCTTAGTGTGACCACATGGAAAGCTATTCAGTATACAGTATATAGTTTGATTAAAATCAGAATTTAAGTATCTCTATTGCTTACAAATCTCTTCACATCTCTCGATTGTCCATGAATGATCCCAATGCAAACTGTTTGAGAAACTATCGCTGAATTCGAATATCCTCTATGTATCGACTATAAGTTTGCATGTCTGCATCGGAATGATTTTCAAAACATTAATTTTTTTAGTCATTTACTTAACTTTTTATTCATTCATTTTTTCAAACATCAATAAAACAAAAGGAAAGTGTTTCAATAACGTTTTTAAGAACGGCTTATCTCAAAAGTTCAAGACCGATTGTCAAATTTTAAAAGAGAGCCTCAGTTCAGTATTAATATTCAAGCTCCTAGATTTGGATACTTCACTGGCAAGGCTAAAAATCTTTGTCCCTTTGGAGTTTTTGAAAGAATGACATTACGTTTTTTTCACCTGTGCTCCTCCTTTCGTCAAAATTTCTAACTGTTGTGAAATTTTCATCCTTCCTATCTTTTCCTCGTCACCATCGAGGGATCATGGTGTTGTAAATCTGTGAAAGGTAGTTTTGGTGCTGATGTAAAGCCCTTAGGTTCCTACTTTTCCCTCTTTCTCTTTCATGAAGTATTGAAAACAAAGCACCCCCCTTTGTCCTTCATTATTGGGTATTAGTTTTCCTTTAAATTAACTTTGAAATTTTGCTTGTCCTCTATTTTCTCTTAGCTTTCTTCTCGTTCAGAGGCAGAAGAAATTAGTATCTGTCCAAATTTATTGACAATTTCAGAAGAGAATCCACCAAAATAGAGGAAAAGAAAAAACATTAAGTGGAAAGAAATACTTTAATGAGTTTCGTTAAATCAGGCAAGGCATCAAGTAGTTACTACTAGTAAACTGACTTGATTTGTTATTTTTCTTTGCAAATCCAGTCCTAATCCAGATTTTTGTCGATTTCTGTGATTTGACAGTACTCAGTAATGAAAAGAAGATGAGGAAGTCAATAAAACCCT